ATGCTAACCAGAAGGACATTAAAGGCTTCAGAATTAAACCATTCAGTTCAAAGAACACAACAACACTAAAACCGTCTTATACCCCCCCTCTTCTATCTCAAGCGCTTGTGTGTATCTGTTCGTAAAATACACTCACATTAGGCGGACATCAGAAAATGATATCCACTACAGGATCCTTGAGAATCAAAGAACACTGAACAGTTAGGTAACGATTCTTGCTTTGCAATTATTCGGCAGTACTGAAAAGGGAATTTAGTAACCAATTATTTTTCCTTACTTGTTTTCCTTATTTTCGCATGGAGGTTTGGTAAACACTCAATCTACAATAACAACTGGCCATAATGAATTTGAAGTGCGAACAAAACTACCATTTAATAGACTGTATAACTAATACACAGCACTTGTCGGTATAAATCGACGCGTTACCTAGATCGATTTAGCATCCAGTAAACTACCCCGTCAGGGACTTTTTTCTTCACATTGTGCAGAAAGACTTTTGAAACTGAGAAAAGCCTTAAATGTATGTATTCTACATTTTCAGTAATTGGTAACATTGTCTAGGTTCTAACTATTTTCTAATCGACGCACAAGGTTCATAACACAGACCCACACACAGCGAAAGTTCATTGAATCGTCACTAAGAAGTAACCGATGTCATGTGCCGAGTCTTTCGTTCAGGTGCTGACTAAATTTCATCAGTCGAGATTGTGACGGAGTAATCATGCTAGATAACTCACCATCGCGACACAATTCGAATATATTTTAAATGATTGAAGGTGATCGATAGGAATGGGTATTATTGATTAGAATCCTAGAGACGACACCAGTTTCTTCATTATTTTTTGGAGGGGGGAGGAGTTTACAGATATGTCATGCTACCGGGTACTAACAAGCACGAAATCTTGATTTAAGGGCTTTCTCCTGATAGCTTACAACCGCCTAAGATCAGTTCAAATTGCAAACCAATGGTGAGTCACTTAGCCTAGTGACTGTGTTGCAAACCCGACTGGTAGAATTCGGTCAGTGAGCACCAACACATAGGTCTAGGCACACGACACCGGTTACTTCTAAGTGACTAACCAATGTCTCCATTACAGTCCTACGACAGGTTGATAGTTAACACGGATAGTTTTTTTATCCCTTTACGTTTCCAGTGGAACATAGGACTTCAATCTAGAGGCGTGAAGTTTCGGAATGGGGTTGCTAGCCTCATGGGCAAAGTTCAACAATCGCCTCCCAAAGGATGCGAACGCATGGGTGACCTTCAGCCGACCAATCATCAAAACGAGGTACTTTTGTACAGAAAATGACGTGTATTTACAATAGATGCATGAATAAACATTAAACAGGTTATCTTTCTCTGACATGACTTAAGAATACGTTTCAAGTATAATGAGGTGTCACAGTTTTCAAATTAGACCAGTTTCTGTACAGGTATTCACCAAGGTGACTGAAGATGAGCTGTTTTTGTGAATTGTTCATCTCTCTTATCCTGTTTTGCAGTCCTCCCCAAAGCCCTCGGTTGAATTACTATGGTTTCCAGTAAGAGGATCGATGAATACTTACCAGAAGAATGTGGATAATAAAACAAATTAAAATAAATGACATCAACTATAAATCCATCGCTAATCGAAACCCCAGCCTTAATCATAACCCTTATCCAAACCGTAATTCTAGCCCTAGTGCTAATTATAACTCTAAACCTAACCCTAACCACAATACTTAATTTAACTCTAATCCTAACCCCAAGGAGCTATTAACACATTGTCCAAATAGTACCTAACGTGTTCTAGGTGAAATTCCCTGCTAAGCTGGTGAATAGCGTCGAAATTTCAGCTATGATAATGACAGGTGCCGTTAGCCAACGACTAGCATGCGTTTAAGGTCATTAGAGCGTTCGCACTGCTGGGACGCTATTGTTCAACTTCACGCCATTATGCCCACCTTTCCTTCTTTATCAGTCTTATTACTGGATTAGCGAGGTAAAGGAGTGCGTCTGTGATCATATGCTCGGTCAGTGAGGATTCTACCACTGTGTCATTAGTAATGCCTGTTGACAAATCAATGGGTGATGAGAGCTTGAAACTCCAAGCAGATATCAATCCCTTTAGAGTCTTAGATAAGCCTTGCTGACGAGTGCAAAGAAGCACTGCTGATTGTCTTTAACTTTGTGACACCAATCAACAAAACAATATGTCACGCGGCTGGAGTGAATATTTATATAAGCGACTTGCTTGAGAAGTTTATTTACTCCAGAACAGATTTTCACAACAGATAATACGCATCAACTCCATCTTTCCACATTCACTTACAGTACATTTATTTGTAACCATCCATTGGGAACAGTTTGTGTAATAATAGAATATCTCTAACTCTTTTAATGAAACCATCAAAGAAACACGTTCTAACAATCAATATTTACAAAATTCCTCTATTCTATCTGTTTTGTCATCATTTATAACTCATCAGTAGGTTACATCACTGACTACTGAAAAAGTTCAAGAACCATCTGAAATTTACACGTACCTCCCACTATCGAAATGGAACTTCGTGCTAAGCAACTTAAAAAACAAATCACTCGGTTATAAAAGTAGACGGTGTGAAATTATTAGCAATCAGATGAAATCAAGTATGGCTATCAATTTCTTGGTTCCTATCAAAATCTATGCAATGAAACAATTAGCGTACACTCTGTACCAATGTGATTTGCTGCTTTAAGTGAACACTGACAGAAAGCTGTCAAATCAGGTTAGACGCTTTGTGATACTCAAATCCGAATCAGTTTTGTCAAATTCACCCAAGTAGTATGTCAATCACTTTATATGATATTGTGAAGAATCAATCAGTATACTTTGGTCATGGTCTCAAATTGATATATGTTTCTGTGCAGTTGCTGCTTTCCTGAATTCACCGGAAAGGATTAGCTCTAAATGGATGCCTCCTTAACACTTATTACTGTATATTTAATCAAAGAAATACCTCTTGACCTTGTTACTAAAAACGTAGACCTGAATATGAAGTATTAGCATCTTTCTGACTTCTGTTCACTTTTCTAGTGTTTACATATAGTAGGATATAATCGTTAATGGAAAAGCTGGAGCATATGCATATATGAACACATCTACTAAAAGTGAGTCGATGGCACTTCAGTAGGACGCTCGCTAACCACGCCTCATGTGCTCCGGCGTTTGATCCCCGGCCATAAACGCACTCTTTTACCTCGCTAAGCCACTAAGGGAAGATTGGGCAAGAGGCTAGCAACCCCATCCCGTAAAAATAAACATCACTGCTACCGAAACTTTAAGCCTCTAGCTTGAAGCCCCTATTTTTCTCTGGGAACGTAAAGAAATTTCCAAAAAAATACTTCTGGAAATGAGCAACACTTTTGTCAGTAGATGGTTAATAAAAGTTATATTACTTTTATTGAAGGACCGAGAACGAAAATACATTAAAACTGTGTTTAGTTATAATTTTTCAGCTGTTATATTGACATCAAAAGATAAATTTGGTGGTTCTTCAGTTAAAGAAAACTGACAGGAGATAGCTGCTTAAATACAGTGCGATCAGAATGGTCTATATGGATTATTTCACATCTATCCAGTGTACTGTAGCAGTTCAAAAAGACGTTCAAAGACGTCAAAAGTCTTTTTTACAGTGATCTACGCAAAGATACAACGACATTCAGAGAAAACAGTCATTCCTTGTACACAAAGAGATATTTTAAAAATATATCAAAGTTTTTATCGCTTATAGCACAAAATTATTTTATTAGGTCTAAGTGAAACTCCCGGTTTAAAGTGTGGGAGATAGAAAAATTCATCTGTAAAAACCTCCGAGTGGTAACGACTGATTTCCTGCTTCAAAAAATTACAGGAATCATTACTCTAAACTCGGCTGATGAATAGTAAAACAACATGAGCACTGTCTCTCACTTTGGACTACTTGCTACAGAATAACTAAAAGCTTGATCCAAAATTCAACGAAACACCTCCGATGAGAAGGACTGGAAAAATTGTATTGTAAATTATGTGAACCGTATGTAAAGCATACGAGTGGAAAATATTCTCTGACTATTTTTTAGGAACATTTCTGCAGAATGAGGTCAGCTAAGAGAGTAGAAGGGTTTCGTTTCATATGTTTTTATTTTGGAGTCAAACATTTTAATTTTGATGGGAAACTAGATATCCTTTAATTCCAACGGCAGGAAAATGTGACGAGACAAAGAATGCAGATGCATCACTGAAGTGGATGTATACATCATTTCATAACCAATTCAACCAATTATGTGCTATTAAATGGGCATCTAAGTTGGTGTTGTTGGAGCCATATATTCCACTCGGAACGCAAGGGAATAATAAAAAAATAATAAGGTGGTGTCGCTTAACCACACAAAAATCTGTGAAATGTAACTAGATTATTTCCAATTAGAAATTTAGCCACCCATGTTAAACACTGAAAGAAAAATCAGAAAACACCAGGATATTTTCAGTATACATTATTGAATGTTATTCGAATGCGTGGCAGTGTCGGAGAAATCCCATACTGCTGAAGCAGAAGGGTGTCCAGTTAGTAGCCTACTGCTAGAGAAGGTTTGAATTAGAACTCTGAGGTGTGATTACAGCTCATTTGAGTGTAGCCTGAACATCAGTAAGTGGGAAGAAATCATCGTCCTTTTAAAACTGCCTTAAGCTGCGAGCTCATGCAAAAAATTGTCCGTAGTTAGCATCGTAGCTTCAAGATTAAGATATTCTAACTACAAACGCAGAGGTCTCTTATAACTTCGCTACATTAGAGACAACTGGTATGCTAGTGGTTATGTCGCTTAAAGTAGACAATAAAATATCATGGCTCACTGTTACATACAACAATATCTTCATCATTTTCTTAATAAAAAGGTTTGTACATATAATTTGAAGAGGTTTTTCATGAAAAAATTTTTGTTAGGAAACGTATTTTAGTTCGCTAATAAGTTGCGTAAAAGTTTAAAGTGAATTACTTACTTTAGCTTTGCTTTGAAGATTCTGTGGACTACTTTGGTATGCAATATCTCTGAATGAAAACGTTTTACTAATATTCGGGGTCGTGGTGAAGTTTAATGCACTCCTTTTAGGCACTCCATTTCGTACATGTTTTTTACTAAATCCTGAGTATTCATTAGAAGGCCTGTTATTAGGAATAAGATTTTCCCACTGTCTCGGTAATCCAACATATTCACCAGTTCTAGGGTCGTAATTTACATGTGTGGAGTGCTGTACACTGATTGGTGCTGTTATATCAAATTTACTGAGTTTCATTTGTCTGTCACATAGACTTTTTAAAATGTACTGCTTATAAATCCAATTTCATACTCCTTCATATAACGCGCTACTTTTAGTATTTACAGTTGTGAAACGAACAAACAATCAGATAACCAACATCATTTTCACAAACCGGATCAGATTCTTTGGACTATTTTACTGGCAAATAGGCAAAGGTTTAAGCACTTCAGGGAGCTTCTTACTAGTTCGTTCTGCTATAAGCTTGTCGTGGCTACGTTAATTCCTTATTGTATTTCAGTCATATTTGATTAGTTACATGCAGCTGTTTCCATTTGTCTTTAGACAAGCGGGCTATTATAATGTGTTTTGAAGGTGCGGCATTAAAGCCTGTGCGTTAAAGGCTGGTAACACTAATCAATAATCTAGAGATTGGGAGAAAGCCTGGTAAGTAGACATATCATAGGACATTCTCCCTGGAACAGTATAACCAGGAAAATGGAGCTACAAGGCTACCAATGTGAAAGGAGGAACTAGAAATCTAGGATGAGGTTAAGTCCTGTGTAAGATGCTGAAAGCTTATGGTCAGTCATGAAGCCGGCTAAAAATGAGTGCAGAGATGAGGATGAAATAAACATGTGCTTCTGAAGGCTTGTTTTCCACTCGGAACCCAAGGAGTAATAATATTAATGGTACTACTAATAATAGCGACGATGATAAACATAATGAAACCCCAGGACAGCATGTTTGTAGACAAATATTCCTAATTACCTGCAACTTCTAGATTTCTCCAAATCGTTGGAAGGCAGTTCGCCCTTCGATGAGAATTGCGCTAGATTAGAATGTGCAATTTGTTGCTTGTCCAAAGTCTGGTTGCTTTGATTAAAAGCACGACAATGTCAATGTTTGAACAAAGCTATATCTTTATCGAAAACATCATATCTTCTATGCTTAGACCAATACGGTTAGCATTAAGCATTGCAAATGTATCCTATCATTTCAAGTATTATATAGCTTCTTATGGTTTCTAACTACTTTTGCCCGTACACGACAAATAAATTCAGATTGCATTTTGTGGTTATTATCGTATCACTCACCCCTGTCAAGAATTTTCATTATGTAACTCTGGTGAAAGTATTCATCCAATGTACCGAGGTCCTCCAAATATATGAGTTCATTCTGCACTGCCGAGAAGCAAGTTGTAAGAAATCGACAGACCTCCAGAAGAATACCCAATGCATACTGACATAACTGATCGTCTCATTATTAATATGCACAATCATCGGGGAATTATCGTTATTAACATAAGTAATCGTCACGGACATGTAACGTAAAACCTTGTGAATAAGTTACCGAATGAATATTCTTCATTTACAAATCAGTATATAAACAACCTTTCTTCCGGCAAGGACATTCCTTAACTTCAGGTGGAGAGAGGATTCACCAATCACTGTCAACATACTCCTTAACAATCTGCTGGCAAATAAGGACTAGCGTGATAGGCACCTCTAGGGTGTCCCTTACCGTCAACCCGGATTACATAACCTATGGGTTAAATTTCGATGTCCCAGAATGTAGGTGTTGTCTAAAGGAAGTCACACACCACTAGAAGTCGCTTTTAGCTCAAATTTGAGATGGAACGATTTAAGTTGTCGTCAATAATTTTGGTGACTAAATAATCTTCAAACATCAGGATAACACCGCATATGTCATGAGCAACAAGAGAGGGATCTCCGCCTTTGTAGGGTAAGGTCAAACTCAAAATTATGATCATCCATGATCTTCTGGATTCGTTAACGGGTGACGCGAGTGAGAAGCATCTGCAACATGTTCAAGAGCCGCAATGTCTATCTGCTCAACTGATGCCGGACGGTGTAAGCTGGCGTCTGCAGACTACCTCGCCCACTGTGTCTTTATACGTTTGGTAACTACGATTCATAGCAGTAAACGTCTGACTCCTGGATATCCGGTGTTGATAGACCAGGCCTAGGACCTTGTAAAAGCAGCATAGTGGAGTGACACCACAAACCTACGCCTGCATTAATGCAGGGGAAATAGGTGTAACCGAATGAAGCACTCAAACAAAATCGCAACGGCTGCTTCATCAGAAGTCTAGGTGTCATGTTAAACATGATCTGGATTTTAGGAATCAATGTTGGTTCGGACTTATAATGTTGCAGCTAAGCATATGCTTGGTAAGGTTATCCTTAACTGATTTCTCCATAATTCTAGATGGGATAGGTGTGATATTCATTGGCCTGTAGTTACTGACTTCTGTTTTCGGGCCAGATTTGTCCAGTACGTTGTCACCTCTTGTAGGGATAGTGACAGTTTGTTCCCAGCCGAAGATGTCCACATTACCTAGGAGCTTGTCATATTTAGTTGGGCCTGCTAATAAATTGCAAATGATTTTGGGTAGGCTGAAGTCCCCACAAATGATATTATGCTCTTATGGAGGAGTGGACACTTGCCACAGTGCATTTATAAGTTGTGTCTCGTACTCACTAAGGGCGCCAGGTGCTCTGTAGATACATCCTATTAGCAGCGTAGTACTTTTGAAGTGTACGTTGACCCATAGGGTGTCATGCATATCATTGAGTTCCCTATTTTCTCTCCGAAATACGGTGTGTTCAGGAAGTACATTAGGCAGCCTCCTCCCTTGCCACTGTTCCTGTCACATCGAAAGTGTATGTACCCATCGATGCTTATCTCTTCGTCTGGTATATTGGAGTGACACCAGGATTCGGTAATAATAATTATTGGGAGTTTGTATACCAGCGTGTGTGCCCTGAGCATCGGTAGTTTGTTAAGGATAGATTTAGAATTAATAAGAATTAAGTAGAGTTGAGATTTTAAGTAGTATTTGAAGCATTTGAGCTCGCTAATCGAGCTCAAGTGCAGTTCGGCATCCACTGGTTCCACGTAGCATAAGAATCCTTTGCTGCAATTAGTTTCGGCACCATGTTCACTTATGCCTATCGAGTTACTATCTATTTCTTTCAGTGAATAATGAGTTTTATTATTGGATTCACCATAGGATCGGGTAGCTCTAGGCTTGTGCAGATTGGAGTTCTTGTTTGGCCTATGCTTGTACAGACATTGGATGTGATTAATAATTCCGTGTGCACTGGCCTGTGTCTGTTTTCTTCCCGACGCTAGTGGTATGGGTTCGGAAGAGTTAACATCCCCACAAGTTGTTTGGATAGCGCTGACAGGGATATGTTGGATAAAAAATCGTTGGTATCTTGTGATGCCCATGACTTAATAATCTGCCTATTGTTTGAAGACATTCTAAGTGATCTAATATTGGTTTCGTTATAGGTATAGGTGCACTGTAGCCTGATTCCCAGAGGACTTGTTCCTCATAATCCGTCAATGTTAGCTTGTATGTCATACTTTGAAGACCCAGAATGGTTGGTGGCTGAGCTCTGAGTGCTGTCAATTTTACTATTTTTCCTGATGGTGTCACTACATCAGTTACTAGTGTGACTTGGCACAGTATACGAGCAAGTTGCGTCGTCATTGACTGTGGACCCTATGTCTTATATGTGTTTTTAATTTGGTTGCTAGCATAGTTTCGAATATTAATTGCCTTACAGCGTGGGTTATTCGAAGGAGTTGGAAAATGTGGGGGATTCTTCGTAACAAGTGGGGTATTTTGGCTTGTTTTGTTACCGAATTCCATTTGAGTTCCCACGATTTGGCTAGGGGAGGATGTCTTCGATTTACAAAAGGGATTGATTTCTGTTTTAGGGCTATCCAGAGACATATCTAGATCCACGGTAGATGGAGAATAGGTTAATTTAGGAGTGAGATTATAGTTCACAAGTCTTTGGTTTGTTCTGTGAAGCTATTTTTGTGAGATTTGAGAGGGGGAGGCTGTGTGTTTATCTATTTTAGTGACTTATGGTGTCTTGCCATTAGGTTTATTGAGGTGATTTTAAGCACGCCTTTCAATCACTGTCTTATCTGCTACAACTTTTATTTGTTTGTAGCTCGCATCCTATAATAGGACACGTTATGTATTGGTGAATTTCCTAGCCTCTGCCTGTGTTCCAAACTGAAGGCGTATAGGGCTGACTCTTTTTCAGTCTGTGACATTTTGTTTGGGAGTTAAGCATTTTCGCCACCCTAAGTAAGATCGAATATTGAATATCGTTTTTACGAGCTAGTATAAACCAATTTTATTTCTTTGTGCTCGCCTCTTGATTGTGAGGTAGAGGTTCGTGATCTTAGGTAATTGCCTGCGTAGCTCGTCCGGCCACTCCGCTGTCGTAGCTTTGGTTGACTCCAAAAGGAGTAGTGCAGGGATTATTGATGTGCGGTTTGTAGTATGAGGTGTGTTAAGACTGTTACTACTGTGAGTGGAGTTGGTCCTTTCACCAGTTGGTCCTTCTGTATTGTCGTCAATAGAAAAGAGATAATAATAATAATGATAATGATAGATGTAACTAGTGAATGTATTCAGACTAACAGACAGAAAAAGAATAAGAAAACGTAACAACAGTCAGTCAACCGGTATATACATATATATATACCGGTAATAATGATAATAATAGGTGTAGTTAAAGCTGTCAGGACAGTAGGACGGAAGAGAATGTAAAGAAGTAAAACGACAAGTTTAATTGTCTACTTTTGAATGATGTATGCGATACCTTGAACCTTTTTCAACCCCTCATTATCCTGTATGTTATAGACTATCACAATTAGTTTAGTATCTAGTCTTTCGATAACCTTTGTTGTGATGAAGTTTTTAAAGATGTCTACCTTAGTTACTGACTCTCTGTCGAGTTCGCGAGGTTTTATGGTTCTGGTCAGGATGTTTAGAGGTATAAGTTCACAGACCCGCGATTTTATCTCACTAATCTGTGTTGATAGTTCAGATATTCTGGTCATATTTTCTGAATATCCTGCATTTACAGCCTTTCTACACCTTATAACCCGCATCTCAGTCCTCAGCTCTTCTATAGACAGCTTTAGTTGTTCTATTTCAGAAGTGTTGAATCTGGACTTGTTATCTGAAGTTTTGTAACACGTGCATAAGCTGAAGTGAAGGGGTCTATATCAGGACCAGGTGCTGAGTTTGTAGATGCAATGCTGCTACTAGTTGTCAGCATAT